TGATAAAGAATAAAAGGCCATAAAAAAAAAAACCTAGCACAATATGACAGGTAATACACAATCCATTTAGACTTAAACACTGCTAGTCTGTAGAACTATTACAAAAGAGAGGAGAGGTCCAGCCTGTCAGCACAGACATTAAAGCTCACGGTTGATTATAGTCTAGGGTCTGCTCAGCATTGTTTCAATAGGGTCCCTCACGATTCGTCAAGGTGTGCTGGTCTTTTCCATAGACTCACAGAACATTTTATCTGCAAGGGAGAGGCTTTAAGCAGTGCAGGCCATGGGTCCGTGGTGCAAAAAGTTCACGCTCTCACTTAGCTGGTAAGCAAAGACAGGAAAGAAGGAACGGAGCTAAAACCCCTGTTTTTTCTTTTCCAGGATGCAAAGCCTGCTAGCTGGAATTCACAGAAGACTAGATGAACAAGATAGGGCATGAGCGTCGGGTGGATACCTCCAGCAGGAAGCAAAGAACTAACGTTGCACGGTGGGCCCAGCAGATGGAATGGACACTGTGTTTCCGGCCTGGACAACCTTACAAGTTCCCGGAAAGTTCTGCCTAAACAAATCCACAAACTGCACTTCCCATACCACTTAGTGGTTTATCTATCTCCTAGTAGCTAGTTGCCCTGTTTTCTCGATAAAATTAAAAGCCAAAATGTATTAAGCACAGTACCCAGCACTTAATAAGTGCTCAAGAAATATTATCTCCCTTCCTTCTCAAAACCAAGACAAAAATAAAGCGTTCCTGATTTATGATGGCCCAAAAGGACAAAATGAAACAACACCTAGATTTGTCCTGTGCTAAGTGCAGGCTCTTTGGCCACAGAGAGAAGGAGCATCAATCCCCGAATGGGCCAGATTCCTTGGCCCTGAGAACATGTTCTGCCATAAGGATTTATAATAACTTTAATCCAGGCTGGCCAGTTTTTGATGTGACTGCAGCTCTACAAAACGGGATTTTCCTAATGGACAAAACCTCATTTCTTTTCTCCCGATGTGCAAATCTGATCGTGGCTCACTTTTAGGAAACCATTTTCGGGCCTCTGGAAAAAGTTCTTTCCCCACACTCACTTCAGTCTAATACTACAAGGCTATCCGTAACATCTCCCAGGGACAACAGAACCTTCAGTTATCCTGGAGGATATATAAAAGGCACATTGAAGGCAGACGGGTGTTTGAAACAAGGGGGAAATTTTTGTGTGTGTCAGAAAGAGGGGGGGAGAGAGAGAAAGAGAGAGAGGGAGACCTAGCTCTTTTGTCTTTTGAATAGCTATTGATTGATGAAATCTCCTCAAACCCCTGACTCCCCAACAATCCCTAGGGCTCCATGCAGAACTCTGCCTCAGTAAAACTGAAAAGTCCTAGGACTGACTGACGGACTGATGGACTGAGTGAATGGGAAATGTGAAATCCATCTCTGGCTCCTTCACAGCTTCCCACTCGCTCCTGTAACTGGCCTCCCAGAGGGGCTCATGCTATCACATTTCTCCTAATTGTCTCAGCGGAAAAGCATTCAAATGAAATGGCTCTCACTAGAGCACTACCTGCTAATGGTTTCACAGGTCCCGTCAGCACTGCAAGCAGGAGAGCTGGTGTCTTTGATAAAGGTTTTGCAAAGGCTGGATTCGACAGAACCAAAGCAGTGACTCATGCAGACAAGGGGGAGGCCAAAAGCCCTTGTCCTCGGTCTCCAGTCTCCCCGACGTGAGCAAGACCAGCACGGATGGTCCATTTCCTCTGCAAAGAGCAGGGAGGTCTCCATTTGTGCGTCATGCTCAAGTACACGCCCCATAGGACATGTGTGCTCAAGAGCGGGCCCCAAGATGCCTCTGATGCTCTTTGTGGTTTTGCTTGGTCTGAGGCCATGGAGGAAAGGAGCCGTAAGTGTTGAAAAATTTTAATGAAACACATGTGACCAAAATTCTGGACACTACCTCAAGGCTAGAATAAAGATGAATCACTTCAACACTCCCGCTCTATGGGCACATGAGATTCACTGCCCTCTTTTGGCATTCAGGCTAAACTGAGAGATTTAGGAAGAAAAAAAAACATGGTAATTATAGTTGGTTTGTAAATAAGTTGAGCTAAAAGCTGCTCTCACAACCTACAAATTAGTTCTCCAAATCAAAATCATTTTTATTAGCAGAAAGGTTATCTAATTTTGCCTACGCTGGTGTCAAACCTCATCCCCCCGCCCCCCCGACACACACACACAAAAGGAGCAACCTAGTTCAGCTGTCAGATTTTTACATAACACTCTCTTTATGTGACCGAGGCTCCAGAGTCCTAACACTTCACAGAAATTCTTTCTTAAACTGGCACTGAGGCCTTTCATCTTCAGCATCCATTTCTAAGCACAGAGTTAAGAGCTGTGGAAAGGGCCAAGCTGGGTTCCTCGGGGCTCAGCCAGTGAAAAAGTACTTGTTCTTGGAATGTTTGCAAGACATCTCCTTCACCAGGGTAATCAAAGACAGGGAAGAGGAAACGCTGTTTACCTGATGAAAAATAGAATTAATGTCTTTATGAGTAGCCTATTTATTATTTATGGTTTACTAAATGATGACGCTAATAGTCTCATAGTATTCAAAACTGAAGTTTGGAAGCCAACATCTGCCTCTATTTGAAATCTTCAGGGTTAACCAGCATTACTGACTGGTCTATGGGACTGCTCTATGGGGGGAAGCAAATCAGTAAACGAGCACACATCCCTTAATTACTTGGCATTATCTGACTTTTCTGTGTCCTCTTGACTCCACAGCATCCTCCTAAAGGGATATGTGTTTAGTTCCCTTGACTTGCCCAAGCAGGGAGTGGAGGGCAGAAGTTTTTCTCAAAATAGCAGCAAGGCTGACTCTTGGAACCCCCTTAACATGGCCATTTGAGCTCCCAGGCTGATGTCTCCTGTCTCCAGATAGAGCTTCAGTTCTGGAAGAAGAGCTTCCCAGAGAAAACAGCCTGCTGTTTGGAGGTCCAGAGAGGTGGATGACAAGCAAAGGCAGGTAGGGGAGAAAATAAAATCCTCAAGGTACTAAGGACAGGCACTGGACGTTTGCTGGCCCGTCCCTTCTCCCACCTCATTCAGAAGAGCAGGTTTCCCACCCCTGGCTAATCCAGGAGCCTTCAAAACCTCATCTGGTTCCACTGCAACAGGTGGGTAGGCTGACCCATGCTCACACTTCTGCCCTTAAATATAAAACTTTCCTTTTTCATTGACCAAACACTACTTGAGTTCATTCTTTTTACCTTCGTAGGCCCCCACAGTGCCTGTGCCTGATACTTACATGGCATTTTAAAGAGAAGGATGGGTCAGCAGCGGCCCGTGGCTACCCGACACCAGCCAGGCCCAGGAAAATCTAGAGCTGAAGAGAAGGAGGGAATGGAGAGGAGAGAAGCAGGGGCAGGGGGCACGTTAGTAAGCCCTCTTCCTACACAGCTCACCCAGCCCCTGTTCTCCCCTGGCCAATGTAAGGGGCCCTGAGTATGCGGCATCCCCGATCCAGCTTTACACATGGCTGAGAAGACACGCTTGGCATCTCCTGGTCTGCAACTCTCTCCATCACAGCAGAGACAGGGAGAGAGGAATCACTCACGGGGAGCCCCAGATGTACCTAGGCCGACAAAGCAGGGATCTGCTTATGAGGTATGATGGAAAAATGCTAATGACACCAAATCCTCCATCTACTATGGAATGGAAGGCCCAGGTATGGGCTTAATCCCTTATAAGTACAGTTTCAATGACAGTGTAGACCAAAGAGAGAGAGAGAGAGAAGAGTTAAAGCGAAAGGTCCTTCAGCAACTACTAAAAATAAAATACAAAATGTAAGCAAATTTCTTACACAAAATCTTTCACAAGCTAGGGAAAAACACTTAAAGTGAATCTTCTACATTATACAATGAAAAGGCAATTTCCATTTCTTATTTGTGTGAAGGAAGAAAGGATTTTTTAAACTACAAAAGTTACTTTTAATCATTAAACAAACAAACAAAAAAAAGTAGGTGGGGGGGTTAGGTTGTATCTCTTTGGGTAAGCTGCAAAGTAGCCAAACCTGACTATAAAAGCTAAGACTATGGATACACAAATGTTACCTACTCCAACCCCAGGCCTCAGGCCCCTGTGTTGAGGCAGAAGAGGAGGGTAAAGCAGAAGTGGGGTGTGGGGGCGGGGAGGAGGGGGCGAGGAGCAGGTGTGGAGAGGCAAGCCAGCAAGGCTGTCCGAAATGCCTGTTGTCAGGGACAAGGATTCCCTTCTCTTATGGGAACAGGATGGAAAAAGCCTCTGATCACCGAGCCGCAGACCTGATTAGGGCATTTCCCTCCGACTTCATTCTGTAGGAGGACACAAGCTTGAGGGGACTTCCCAATTATAATGACAGGCCTCCAGGTGAAGAATGAGGAGGAAGAGGAAGAAAAAGAGGAAAATGGAAAAATAAAAAGACAAAAACAAAAACACCATCTGGAGGATTGGGGATCCCAGAGCTTAGGGTGCCCTCCTCGCTCCAAAGGCCACTTTGGAGGGAGGCGTCGGATCTTTTCAGTGTGGTTGCTAGTGGGGAAGCCTCAGCGAGCTAATAAATACTATTTACAAATGGGGAGGAGAAGCCAGGGAGGCAGACCTATGGGTACGTGGGGACGCAGGTTGTGGGGATGCCCTACAAGCAACAAGATGGGGCAGGTTCGCCTGGAGTAGAAAAGCCTGATTCCTTCAGGCATTGCACTTGCGGCCTGAGAATGGGGAAGGGGGAGCCCTCGCTCCAGTGCGGGGAGGATGATCTGCGAGGGCTCTGATGGCGCAGAGTGTCAGGGGTGCTCACTGAAGGCACTGGCACCTCCGGGGCTGTCGGGGGCAGACACACCGGAGCCCGAGGCGGAGGAAGGCAGGACGTCAGTCAGTGCTTTGCCAGATCCCAACAGGCATTCTGGTATTTTTGTGGCTGGAGTCTGCGGTCTCACAGGAACAAGAGTCATCTCTTCTTCAAAGAGGTGGTCACACCCCACAATGAAAATCAGGCAGTATCTTTTTGGCACTATTGGTAGACACAAGCCTGCTTGTCCCAGCCGCGATCCTAAAATAATTTCCTATGGCAGTAAACAGGAGTGGGGGAGGGATGCCGGGCTCCCCTCTTCAGGGGGGCATGGAATGGAGGGGAAGGTGCTCTCTCACCGCAGGCGGAAATCCCAGGCTGTCCTCCCAACCAAAGCCACGACTGCTCGCCCGTGTCTTCGTCCAGATCAAAGGCAAAAAGGAAAAAGCTCATGACAGAGGTGGTTTGGGGACAGGAAAGCAGAGTGAAGAGAAAGAGGGAGGTGGAGACAGCCTCTTTAGAAGGTGGCGTTCACTCTTCTGTCGAGTTCTACAACTTTTAGTGTCTCATTCCCCTCCAGTTGGGCGCCGACCCTGGAAAGATACCAAAAGGAAAGAGTCTTAGCCACCAACTGACAGCTACGATTCTCAGGCTTAGGAGTACAATACAATCATTCCACAACTGCAACTTTGTCAACTTTGTGGGTGGGCCCAAACGGGTTCTCGTTCTAATTGCTTTAACCAAATGCATCTACAGAGGATGGTTCGCCTTATGCTAGACTCTGGAAAGAAGAGAATGAAAGGATAAAGCCTGATCCCTGGTCTAGAATACTCATCATTCAGATAAATTTAAAAAAAAAAAGCTAAGTTGAAATAACATTAAACATATAACAGAAAATAAACATGTTATTAAACTGTGTAACAGCCTAGAAAGTCTCTAGGCACTCAGAGGACTGAGGGCTTTGGTGTCAGGGAGACATCCCAAAACAAGTGAGGGTTTCAGTGGGTCCCTGAACAGTTGAGCCAAGAGGGGAGAGGACTTGTGGCATGAGCCACGCAACCAAGCAGCTGAGTCTTCCATAGCTCCCAGTGGCACCTCTACAAATTTCTCTGTAATGGAAATAATAATGCCTAGCCTCTTAAAGTATTTAAAAGGATTTATATATCACATCTGCATAGCACTTAAGGTAGTAGCTGCCAGTAAACGTCCAATATGCATGTATCATGTAAACATATAAAAGTACATGTAATCATGAACCTTCCCCACAGCTTTAGGGGAAAAAAGCTGCAGAATTTGAAGTAGAATCTTCAAGTGGGAGTACCTGCATTGGAATAGCATCATTTCTGGGAAGCACAGGGGTGAGTTCAACGAGATCCCCACCCACGCCATGCATTGCCAGGAGTGTGCACGCAGACCCTCGTTCCTGTGCTGTTTGGCATTTTCAGGAACCCCCCCCGGCACAATAACAATATCTGGCCATCCTATAAGCCTTTATGTTTCCCAAAAGACTTTCCCCCTAACGATCTAAAAGAAACAACTCATGGAGAATTGGAACCCAGTGTTACTTTCAATACAGAAACATGTCTATGCACAGTGCCCTCCTCTTTACATTGATGTGCCTCAGTGTAAATATATAATTATAATTAATACATGTTTATTTACATATAAATCATAAAACTCTATATTGGCAAACAGCATAACACACATGTATCTCTAGTTGGAAGGAATGTAGGGCAGGTGTCCTAAGGCTGCATCTGCATGGCAAGCACACTGCTAAGGCCGGGCTGTATGTTTACTTACGAGGCTTTGAGGGGAGGAAAGAGGGAGTCAAGCCCTTTGCCCACTTCTTGGAGCCACCGCCTCTCCAGTGACAAAGCAGACACGGGGGCAGCTCATCCTAGGTCACCCCCACCCCCCGTCTCTGCTAAGGGCAGCTGTTGGCAAGTAGTAGACTCTCCAGAGTCCCAGGGTCCCAGAAATAGATCCTGAAAGAGCCCAGGGGCTGGACTGGGCCTATGGGAAAGTCTACACCCCACATTCCAGGTTGCTGACTCACAACCCATCATCAGTGCATTAGGGGAGTTGCATCTGTGGGTACTTGACTCACAAGTGCTGCTGTAGCTCCAACAGCACTGATTTCTCCAGGCTGGTCTCATTGGAGATAATGAAATGGGGAAGATCCACATCAGGCCTGGTCTCCAACCCTGATGCCCTGAGCAGAGAGGACCCTCTGTCCCAATGCCCAAGCTCCCCAGCCGAGGCTGGGCTGGACGGCTCCTCCAGGGGAGAATGTTCCTCGTAGATCAGCAGATTCCTGGATCTCACTGAGGACAGAGCAAAGTAACAGGTGTTAGGGAAAGACCATAGGGTTTATCCCATCCCCTCACTCAACGCCCAGGGCTGGGAGCAGATGAGAATTTGTGGGTTCTTTTGCCCAGAACTGAGGGTGCCAGCTGGAGTTGGCTTTCCATAAAGGCTTCAGGGTTTCAGAGTTGTGTGCATTGAAAAATTATACCAATTATACAGTGCTTGAAGAACAATAGAAAAGCAAATAAACATGAAGCAAACTGCCACTCCCACTGCTTTGAAAATAAAACTCCCCTCCTTGCCCACCCAAAACCATCTGGGGGAAACAATTCATGAAGAATGGGAGTCAAATGCTTGGAGATGTCCATACCAGCTAAAATAAGAAACATTTCCAATGAGTTGGTCTTGCATGGAGAGAAGGTACAAGGGCAGAAAATGGCATTTTCATTTAGAAACCGGAGAGAAGCCACAAAGCCAAAGCCAGAAATCAAATGAGAGAGACAGTTTCTTTGTTTTATAGGATAGTTGCAGAGCTAGATGGCTCTGCAGCAATTTTCTACAACATAGAAACTCTGCTCTCATTGGCTTCCATTTAAATTTACAGATCTATTCCCTTATGGAGAAAAAAAAAGAATTTCCCAAGAGATCACTGAAATTATGTGGTTGAAATGCTAGCATTTCTGTCATAAACCTGGCAGAGATATAACCACCTGGTGAAGACCAGAGACCTTTCAGATCTGCAAAACTGTGCCTACCCCAAATCTGGTACCCCCCACTTCACACTTGTTCTTATTAGTGTATATGTGTATTCATGTATATATTATGATCCCCACAGGCCACTGCATTATTTCCTACATACCTAAAAGGGACCATTGATCTAGGTGAGGTTATCACACCTCTAACACTTGAGTCTCTAAATTCTCTAGATCTTGGTCATAATGTTTTGTAAGACAGATTCATTTCACGAATTCTTACTATGGTAACATATAATTCCACTAAGTGCAAGTAGAAAATGTCACGGAAAGCTTAATGCCCCCCTCCATTTACTCCCCCCCCACCAAATCCACATCCCTCCCCCTTATCAGAGCTCAAAAAGGAGACCTCAGATTTTGCCAGGGAACATAGTTTAGAGCAAGAGTTTGGAAACTGTACTCTTCTCTAGAGAATTCCCAGTGGTGCCTCAGGCCAGTGGGTGAGGAGTACAAGAAGGGGCCCAGACGCCCCCCGTGTCCTTTCCTCCCTTCAATAGAGAAGCTACACTTCTACCCCTTTTTAAAGATAAGACTTTCTCAGAAGCCTTCCTTCAGAAAGTTGAGCCCTCAGAAAGCTCCAGAGAACTGAAACAAGATGCTTTACAAGTTGCCGAGTGCCATCTTACCGACAGAGGCTGTATACGGCTCCTGCACAGAATGCTGGCTGGGCAGAGCCATCTTGGTGGCAGAAGGATAGGGCCCGTAGCCCTGAAAGCTGCCAAATGCAACAGCAAAGCATAGCACAACCACCTGCAGGGGGAGGAGAGAGCACAGGGAGTTGTCAGTTCCACGATCCGCAGAGCAAACCTCTAGCCCTGCAACACCCAGACTCCCCTTCATCAGGCCAGACTGCACCAACAGGTCAACCCCTGTAACATCAGAGCAAAGGAACTGCCTCAGAGTGAGCTTCATCGCTCCTCCAACCCCACTTGGGCGTGGCAAGTTGGGGAGAGACTGGAGACCCGGGAGCGGGGGGGCGCGGCAGGGCACTTGCAGCGCTGTCCCTTTGGGAAACTCACCATGAGGCATGTGCCAGTCTGCGTGCCCGCCAACTTGCAGGTGCGTGAAACCTTGCCCATCACCAAAGTCTGAAGCTTCTGCAGTTGCTGCAGGAGAGTTCTGCAAACACAGCAAATCAAAGCCATGAGGAGAGTCTGAATCAGAAGAGAATGCTTTCAGGTGACGTCTGCCCCCGTGTCCCGGGGAAGCTGCTGTAGCTTCGTGTCTGAATTTGAACACACAGAGCCGAGGGAAAGTCTTGTTTGGAGGGAGATACGGACACCAGCGCCTTCGAGCACCAGTGGTGCAGAGCTCCCCAGAATTTGGAATGAGCCCCCCCACTTTAACAGCCTGTCCAGTTCCTGTGCTGTTCTGAGTAAGAGGTGAATGCCCCAAATTATCCCTGACATGCTGGGACTTATCTGTCAGCCACTGAGACAAAACAAACAAACAAACAAAAAAACAAAAAGAACAATTCGATGGGCAGGTGATGGTGGTACAAGGAGAACTCATTTACCTACGTACGAGAAGGGAAACGCTGAAGAAGATGTAACAAAGGAGAAAAGCAGAGACCTGAAGCAGTGGCCAGAGGGGGTGGCTGTCATTGGAAATGGTGGAAGCATCCATGAGCCACAGTCACTCAGGTAGCAAACTTGAGGAGAAAGAGAGGAAACACAAGAAGGGCAGGGGCAGCAAACAGCCAGGGGCACCTCACACCCGTGGTCCTTGTGGGCTCACGGCATCTCTACAATCAGAAACGAAGCCAAAATATGACAGAGCAAAGAAGTCTGCTCAACTGGACACACGCTCAGAGCCAGGGATCTCGGAAACCATCCTCCCTTACAGACTCTGATCTTTCTCCAGGAAGAGACAGAGGGCAGGAGCAAAAAAGAGTTGTTCTCTCCCTAAAATTGGACAACTGTGCATACCCTTAAAAGGGAAGGGTTTGGGATGAGAATCCTATATTCTGGTCTGTGTGACATCAGGTCACAGAAAGAGCAGATGGTGACATTCTTTGCAAATTCTGAACACTGCAAGCCGCAGAAAAGGATCTTATAACACAGCCTCCTGAATCAGAGCCTCTGGGATAAATCCGTGTGAGCAGCCTAGAGCTGAAGCTCCTCTTTGTCTCACTGCTTTCCCCAAGCCCCATGCACATGGCAAAGTGGAACGATTTTATAAGCAGATGCTTTTTCTTGAGTCTTAGAAATTTTCAAAAAATTCATGCTGTGATGTCACATCAGAAAGCCAGACAAGCTCATTGGGAAACATCAGCAAATCACTCATTTGCAGAATTCTGGGCTCTCCCAGAGAACCTGCCTCTAGACACAGTCTACCTCCTGAAGAGCTTTCAAGTACTACAAGGACTAGCTAGTCTTTCCAGAGTTTGCAACTTCCACCCTGACAAGCGCCAATGACACGAGTTCTCCTGGGGGTTAAGCCAAGCAGGGACAGGTTGGCCATAGGATGACACTGCTGTCAGCAGCTAGCTGGCTAAGAGTGGGGACAGAATTGGGGCAGCCCACAGCACTTGGGGCAGAAGCCTTCTGAACTAAAAAAACAAAACAAACAAACAAACAAAAAAAACCCCCAAAAAACCAAAACAACAAAACCAATACTGTATGGTCCTGGCGAACTTCTGCAAAACAAAATCATTCATCCCATTAATCAATATCATTAATTTAAATTCTATTAATATGGAGCTCTTTTTAGTACCTTGTTGTACATTTTTTTGTTCATTGTTATCTAGAAGTATAATCACAGTTGTTTGGACCTGGTTTCTGTATATTCAGGCAACATGTTCTTTAAAAGTGTTCTGTATGTTGCTCAAGGCTGAGAAATACTGATAGTATGATTATTTTAAATTCCTCTTGCAGAGAGCCTGTCATCGCTGACAATATGGATGATGAACCTGGAGGGCATTACACTAAGTGAAATAAGCCAAATAGAGAAAGAAAAACACTATATGGTATCATATATGGAACCTTAAAAAAAAAAATTATTTTTTTTTTAAGTTGAACTCAAGAGTAGAAAAGTAGTTGCCCAGGGCTGGGGGTTGGGAGAAATAGGGAGAGGCCGGTAAAAGAATACAAATTTTAGCCATAAAATGAATAAGGTCGCAGGATCTAATGTACAACATAGTAACTCTACTCTGTCACGCTGTATGGGATGATTGAAATTTGCTAAGAGAGTTGAACTAAAATGCACTCACTAGAAAATTAAAAACAAAAAAAGGTAAACATGTGAGGTGATGGATGCATTAATTAATGTGAGGAATACTTTCACAATGTATGCGTCTATCAAATCATGTACGCTTTAAATATCTAACAATTTTGTCAATTATACCTCAATTGCTGAGAAAAAAGGGGAAAAAAAGATCATATAATTCAGCAAGTTTTTTCCCCAGCTCTTTTGAAGAGCACTCCATTCTCAGCTACTAGCATAGCTGTCTTTCCAAAACCGGGCACTAAGTGACCTAATGCACACCCACTTCCTGGGTGAGCATTCATTCTCACAGTGCTAATATGTGGCTGGCAGTAGCTTACATTTTATTGACCACCATCTGTGGTGCTGGCCCCAAAGCCTTCACTGGGTTCTCTCTGCTGTATTTTGGGATTCCTAGAACAGATACAGGTGAGCCCACAGATAAGACCTGTACCTGACCATAGGGCACAAACCCTTTTCTCTCATATTCTGGCCTCCTTCTGTGGTACTGATTGTTTTTGTTGCCTGCTAGACTGTGGAAAGGGGCCTCCCAGTTTCCTCGCTTGCTGCTGAGGAACCATGTCTTGAAGCAACGGCTACCCCTTTGGCGGGGGAGTGGGAGGGCACCTCAACTCCCACAGGGCACCCCTGCTGCCTGAGCTGGCAGTCTGAGGTGCTCAAGTTCAGCTCTGCTCTGTGGAGCTTTCCAGATGTTACCAAAGCCATTTCCCTTTGCTCCAAAGTCCTAAGGTGATTTTAAAGTGAAACCCAATTCCCTATTTTACCAACCAACCTTATTCACCCACGACCATCCCACACTTCCTTCCTGCCTGTTCCCTGCTCCTTGCTCCATCTTTAGAGTGTGAAACACCAAGAAAACCAAATCCACAAATTACTTGGAATCACGCCTCCCTTCAAATTTATAGTTGAGAAAACTAGCCCTGGTACCACCCTTCCCTAGGCTGAAGAGTCTCCCAGGAGGCTCCATTGTGCCCCCTGAAAGCGGACCTCTAACAGACCAGACACACCTAAACACCAGCAGCAGGATGTCTTAGCCTCAAGGTGGGACCCCTAACTATGGAGGCAAAGTATTACAATTTGGAAGAAGGGCCATTTAAGTAGGGCTGGGTGAGCAGGGAAGGCTTGACGTTTTCCAGTTGTATGGCAGTTTACTTGGCATTCAGCAGCACATCTTCTCCAAACTCAAGATAATTATATTCTGAATCCACTGCAAATGTAAATAGTTGTTTAATGGTCCCTGATTTCTAACAGTTTATAATCCCACTCTTTGAGATGAGCAAACATGTAGTTTTAAAATAGATTTTTTTTTAGCTTGAAATGTTGGCGGAAAGCAACAGTGATTGATCATGTGCTATTTGCTGCTTCTCCTCCTCAGATCAGTGAAGGTGAACTGAGCTGATGGTGCAAATGATGACACTCTGAAGCCCATCCATCAGCAACTCCGAGTGATTTCACCCAAGGGAAGTGATTGAGCTCGTCCAACCCCAAATCTAAACAGATTTCTATGATCCAGTCAAGTCTGGGAAATTCATATATATTCATTCATGCAACAGAAACATTCATTTTTGTCATAAGGAAAGGAAATTAACAGTGACTGAGCACCCACTGATTGAGTTCTAGGAACTCCATATACTGAGGTACCAAACAACTGTCATGAGTTGAAGACCTCATCTGTAAACTAAAACCTGATTCTGTAGTTCATGGACTTTCCAATGCATGACAACATGGTACCCTCGTTGATAACCTAATAAAATCAATAACCTAAATACCTCTTAGTTAGGTAGATTTTTCTTAAACCTAGGGACACTAACATCATATCAACAACAGCCCAATGAAGATATACATCCACCATTAGATAAGACAAGGTTACTATGGGGGGCACCTGGGTGGCTCAGTTGGTTAAGAGTCTGATCCTTGATTTCAGTTCAGGTCATGATCTCAGGGTCGTGAGATCGAGCCCCACATCGGGCTCCACGCTGGGCATGAAGCCTGCTAAAGATTCTCTCTCTCTCTGCCTCTCCCTCTGCCCCTCCCCCCATACACTCACTCTGGAGCTCTCTCTAAAAGAAAAAAAAAGAAAAGGTTACTATCAACAGGGGCCTAGCCACAGATGGCAGAGCCACAATAAAAATCAGTCCAATGGCAACGAGATCCATACTAACAAAGTCTCCGTGACAATGATACAAATAAAACAAGGGCACATGAACATCTCCTGGCACATCTCCGGCCATACCAAAGATACAATACCAAGTGAGAGGTAAAAGAATCAAGGGTGCTCCTTGCCCTATGTCAGGTGTCTGGAAGTCAAACCTGGGCTTTGTTCAGGAAAATGGAAACTACAAGACCTGTCCCTCTGTGAGACACTGGAAGAGCAGATGAGATGGCTTTAGGATTGGTGTGTCTGCACCAGAACAGGGGATTGGCTGAGTTTAGATCTTGGTACCACTGCTGCATACCTTTGATAAAGTTATCTGGGTCCTAAGTTTAGGTGGCTAATCAAAGTGAATTCCTGTGACCTCATCAGCTAACAAAAGAATGAGAGAATCCCCCCTCCTGGAGTACTCTGGGTTTCTTAAAGCAAAGACACCTTTCAAGAGTGCTTGCTGTCCCTTTCCACTGATGACTGATGAAGCCAGCCCTTTACAGGGAAGCCTGGGGCCTCCTAACTGAAACAGTGGTCTGAGATGGTGTGGGATTCTCCCCGATGCCACTGGGACAGATGCCACGGCCCGCAGCACCGGGAGGGTGGATAACAGCTCTTACCCTGCTTGCACGAAGGGCTGGCTGAAGGAAAGGCAGCCATCAGATGAAATGGAAGAATCATTTTAAAGCCAAAGCTATAAAAAGCCAACCATAGGACAGACCCAACAGTGCATTCAAAGCCCAGGATAAAC